TCCTGGAGGGGCGCCTGGGGGGAGGAGAGGCCTCCCTTGCCCCCCGTGGCTGTGGGGGGGCAGCTGGGAAGCTCCCTCCCCGGGGCATGGCGGAGAAGCCCCCCTTGCAGAAGCAATGAAAGGGAGACGGGCCGGGAGGGGAAGGGGCAGCCGGGGGTCTCGGGGAGACCTTTGGCGCAGGGGGTCCAGTTGCTAGGGATGAATGAAAACTACTCGATCGCCCACCTGGAGGCTGGGGGGCAGGCCCTGCCTCCCCCCCGCCATGCCAACCCTCCTGGCTCTGGGGGTGGAAGCTGTGGGCCCATTTCCTGGGTGCCCCCCAGGAGATACCCTTCAGAGAGGGGAGAACCAGCCCCTTTGCAGAGGAGGGCCTGCTGCCCTGGTGGGGGCAAGGGTCAGGTTTGGAAGGGGGCTGAGGAAGGGGGTCCTGCTGGTGTTTAAGGGGGAGGCAGAGAGCTGGTGAGGGGTAACTTTTCCTTGGCCTGGGAGGGTTTTTAAAATGGGGGGTCCCTGCTAGGGTAGTCCAGAAGAAATCCTTTGAGAGAGAGTAGAATCCGCCCCCCAACACCCTTCAGGAATATCCATGTCAGGTAAACCCAGGGAGGCCTCAAGTTCTAAGAGAGGGACAGCCAGCCCTGCTGGAAGACCCCTCCCCACTTTCCAGGAAGGGCAGATCGGTGGGGATCTTCTTAACTCATTTCCCCCTTTTGGGGGGACAGCTAAAACTATCTTCCCCCTCCCCAGACAGAATGGGAGACATTTTCCCTTCTGCTCGGTGTCAACAACACTTCAGTTCCTGCAGGAAATCACCTCCTTTTGCTTTGCCGGCAAATAGAGACCTTTTAAAAACAGGGTTGGGTTTTTTTCCCCCTTTCCTCCTCCCCCCCACCTTTGCTGTGGAAATTGCTGAGGTGTCAATACCCCCTCCTCACAAATGAGCAAATAATGGAACCCCACCTATAGTCACCTTCCCCAGCCAGTAGCTGCCACCCCCACCCCCCAACATCAGTTTCTCCCTACAGAAAAATAGAAACCTTCTCCCTATTGCACAGAGGGCAGAGGCAGTCTCTTTGGGGTTGGGGGGGCATTTTATTGTCCTCCATATCCTCTCCTTGTAGAGGTATGACCAAAGAATTTCTCTTATATTAAACAACACAGCATGGATGGGGAGGGGAGAGAAATATGGCCTTTTTCTGACTGCCTCCGTCACAGTTTTGAATAGCTATTATTCAAAGATATTATGACAGCCATTGAATAATAATAATGATGATGATGATGATGATGATGATGCATCCCCTCCCACAGTTCCACCCTCAACAGCTAGCTCGAATATAGACTGATTGGGGAGGGGTGGGCAATGGACCAGAATTAGTTGGGGACGACCAGGTGGGGGGGCAGGTTGTTGACAGTTACAATCCAGTGATCGGCTTCTGGTGGTGTGTTACTAGTTACTCAGTTTAGTTCTAGGCTGCTGTTCGGGAAGGTTCTGATGCCAGCAAAAGGGGGGGGGGCTAGAAATTAAACCTGGTCAGTGGGCCTAGGGTAGCCATGGTGAAGGAGGATTGAAATGATGCCGAAACTCGTGGCCCCCCTTCTCCCATCGTCCTGCTGCTGTTTTTGTTTATGTAACACTTCACAGTAGATTTCTTTTGCCCCTTTCTAAAGGATCTGTTCCCCCCTCCATATCGTATTTCTTTCTTGGCCTAATAAGATTTTACCGTCTGCGTGTTTGTGTATTTCTCTATATGCTTGTGGAGTGGGAAGCTTCTGAATTATTATAGTGGATTTGTTTATGGAATTGTTGTGTTAATAGTTCTGTTTATCAGGTGGCGGGGAGGGTTAGACAGATTGGTTGCAATTGACATAGTCAGCCGAAATACACTCCGAGATGTTTATTGAATGTGTTAACCTCTCCCTGGAGAATTTAATCGTGAAGGAATTAGGTATGTAGAGGGGTGAGGGGGTTACAAATAGCATTTAGTTTTGAGAGATACTGTAAAACAAACTTATTTAGATTAGGTTTGCTGGGGTCAGATTGTTATTATATGACAGTGCATGGTGTTTTCAGCCTCCTGTTTTAGCTCTCTGTTTTGTTTGAAAAACAAAACCAGTCTTTGATAATGTGCATAGACCTCTTTTTAAAATGTTGTTTTTAATAAATAGGAAGTGGCTCGTGATTGCTCTGGAATCAAAGCTATTTTTATCCTCGAATTGCATATGCATGTCGTCCCTCCAATACAAATTGCATTTGATGGTTAATTTCTACTGATTTGAGAGAAGGCTAGAACTCCAGCTGTTCAGTGACAAAAATTCTCATTATATATAAATTTTGAAAAGGCAGCTAGATTATGGGGAGATGAGCCCCACTGTGACCTAGTCTCTCTCTCATCCACCTTCCCCCAGTTTCTGATCACTTTGTTGCTTGTGATGTTAAAAGATCACAGTATTTTTTGAGACAAAGAATGGGGTCTTTAAATATGTACACGTGAGATTTCATATGGCTTATTGGTGGTGTGGTCGCTGTTTAATTCAATGGTGGATAGGAGAAAAGAAAATAGCTTGGCATTCCTCTCCAGTGCATGATTAGCTGCTGGTCTTTCTGTTCAACAAAAGAACCATAGAGATTTTTTTCAAAAAAGCTCTCAGACCAGACCTCTCACTATAATTCTTGGTATTTTAAGTGAGCTAGACCAATTTCTCCTGTGTCTGCAAGTTTTTGTGTCTGTGGAATGACAAAATAGATCTCTTTTGTTGTCTGTGGTTTGCCTAGTTCACTTTTCTATCTATACAGTTACGGTTTGGTTTAGCCAGGCCTTGGCTACTGTGACACAGCCTAAATCTAACCATGTTTAGGAAGTCCCGTGGATTTTTACTGAGGCTTATTCCCAAGTCACGTTCTTTTCCTAGATGCACTTAATTTCTGGATAATATTTGCCAACGTGGGACATCATCTTGTCACTTCTAGGTGTTACCTGCTTCCTCCTCTTTTGTTGTTAGTTTCATTCTACCTTTTCTGCTTTTAAAGTACTTTTGCCCTATAATCTTGACTTTCGGCTGGCGTGCCAGTATTTTGACTTTGCGACGGGGTGTGGGTAGGAAATGCAAACGTGGCCTTGCCAACCAAGCGTTGGGAGCTGTCTCTTTCTCTGCTAGTTTGGTGTGATGAGTGTGTAGTTTCCCATTGCCTTCCTATTTTTGCCTTTGGCTCGCCAATGCCTTGTGTACACCCTTCTCTGCAACCCAGAGGGCGAGGTTGGTTAACCAACCTCCTGTATTACGGGGGTAAGTTCTTCACATGTTTAAAGAAAACCTCATCTTGGTAATTGCATGATCTGAAGCTCTGAGTCAT